AAAATAATGTTCTTTTTAGCAACGTCATATGACCCCTTTAAGCATCATTACTCCAGTCTTCAGTGTCACATGATCCTTCAAATCAGTCTAATGTGCTGATTTGATAGGAACATTTCTTATTATCAATGTTAAAAACAGTGTGTCGTGTAATTATTTTTTTTTTTTCAGAATGCTTTGATGTATAGAATGTTCAAAAGAACAACATTTATTTGAAAATATAACATTCTACAATTCTTTACTTTCACTTTGATCAGTTTAATGCATCCTTGCTGAATTAAAGTATTATTTTCTCCCAGAAAAATACACTTACTGAGCCCAGACTTTGGAATGGTAGTGTATGTTTGGCCAGAAGTTTCCACTGTGTAATTTTTTTAAATTTGTTTTCTAAATGCCATAGGATTTTGTCAGTGACCCGAGTCCTGAGGAAACCGTGAGGAGAATGCAGAAAGGACGGGTAGGGGGCAGCAAAGAGCTTTATATAGAAAGTACTGTATTTTTACTGATAAATACTAGATATACAACACTAGAAAGTCAGTGTAAAGGTGAAGTCAGGAGATCTGATATAGCAGAATAAAGCCATTTATTTATTTCTCAATAGCAGTAGGTGCATGCCCCTTTCTTTCCATTTTACATTTTTAAAATATATGCTGTCATATAACAAAATATTAGTCACATGTTTTTATGTTGCTTACAATAAGGATTTCGTCAGAATATATAGCTACTTTTGAATGGCTGTAAATGGGAAAATATGCTTTTCTCATCTAATTAAAATGATTCTTTTACAGGAATTTTCCCTAGAAAAGTTCCGCTCTCTGCAAGACAAACTTCTGCTGCTAGATGAAGCAGTAGCTATTTATGATGGCAACCTCATCACTGCTGTGAGCCGCACATCTCTCACATACCCTATATGGAAGCACTGCTATGTCTTTATGATGATTTATATCAGTAGGAACAGCTTGTGCTTATTAACTGATCTTTTACATTTTCCTACTGCAGGTCTTGATATATTTAAACAAGTCATTAAGTAAAGGTGAGATGTATTGGGATCTGTCATTGCTCACCAGTTCCTTCTCTTTTTTTTCAAAATAAGTTAAATATATATTTTTATTTTTTATTTTTGCAGAAATCCTCTTTCGAGAGTTAATGGCGAGAAATGTGGCTTTGCGTCATTACGTTCATTATTTAAAAGAAATGGGAGAACAAAAGCTTTTGGTTGAGTTACTGAAGTAAGTTTGCTGTTTATATATACAACTTCCTCTCTTAGTGAGAAACATGTTAAAAATAGTTGTGTCTACAGTGTTTTTGTGCGAGGGCGGTTGGCATCTCTCCATAT